GACGGCGGCCCCGGAGGCAGCGCCCGCGCCGGGGAGGCTGAGGGGGCCGGAGGAGCGGACCGGGACGGGACGGGACGGGACAGGACAGGACGGGACTGGACGGGACGGGACAGGACGGGACGGGACGGCGGGCGGGGCGTCTCCAGTCCCAGGTGCAGACGATGTCCCGAAGTAACTCAGACCTACCAGTTGTTCTGTGGTTAGCGAAGCGCTGCCGGGTTTGTGGGCGCATCCTCTAGTTCTCCCCAAGACAAGAGTATCCACGCGCGCCCCACATTCCTGCTGAATGCAACTTAGGCTGCACGTTGCGCCTCTTGTCATGGCTAGCTGTGTTCTGTACCCCCGAGTCGCCCGGTTAAACTGGGCATGCCAGCGAGGCATAAAGAAAGATACATAAAAGCCAGAACTTCGCAGGTAACAGAAAAGCTGTCAGTAGTAATTTGACTCGTGCGTGCGTGCGTGTGTAAAAGTCAAAAACAACTTTACACTGCAATGAGGAAGAAAGAAGGACTCTGTGGCCACCATTTATTCTAGCTATTACCGCCAAATTTGCTCATTATGATTGGAGGCAATCCCTTCTGTAGGCTTCTGTTTAGGAACTGAGAATCCTGCTGGTAATTTCAGGTTGTGAGGGCTCAGAATTCAAGGGATGTTCTTAACACAGTGCCCAGCACTTGCTGTTTCTTAACAAATATAGATTTTGTTATAAAATTGGTGTCTGCTGTTGCTATTTATTATCTCATTTAATACGACTACTCTGATGTAGATAACACTATCTCCTTTTTACCTAGAAGAAAAGTAAGCCGTGGAGAACGTACACTTAAGTCATTTAACCAGTAACTGCTTTTGTTCAGTCTTCCAGGCCTAGGACATTTCAAGTCTAATCAAAAGAAATTGCTTCGGGGCTGGGGATTTAGCTCAGCGGTACAGCACCTGCCTGGCAAGCGCGAGGTCGTGAGTTCGATTCCCGGTACCGGAAAAAAAAAAACAAAAAAACAACAAAAAAAGAAACTGCTTCATTTGTGTTTGTGTATGTACAATAAATATTTGTAATTGTAAACATATGTTTGATCCCAGATATTAAATTGAATTTAATTTGTCCAGCCAATATTTTAATTTTTTTTTTTGTTTTGTTTTGTTTTTTCTCCGGTACCAGGAACCGAACTCACGATCTTGCGCTTGCCAGGCAGGCGCTTTTTGCCGCTGAGCTAAATCCCCAGGCCCCCAATATTTTAATTTAACATCATAACAGAGAGATGGAAAGGCAGGCATGTTATTAATATACATGAGTTTGGGTATAGGAATTTATATCTGGAGAATTTCAGGCACTTTTGGGATATCCCAGGCTTGATTCTGCCCTCTCCTTTACCCACTTTCTCTCTTTGGGGGGCTCATTATTTTCATAGTTGTGAATAGCAAAGAGCATGATGACTCTTTGATGCCTAACCCCATTCTTGACATCTCTACCCAGGTTCAAATTTTTAGAGTTAGTTGCCAGTGTTGTATCTCCAATTGGATACCTGATTGACATCATAACAATTGAACATGGGCAGAACCCTTGAATTTTCCTCAGTCTGATTCCAGTACATTGTTCCAGATAACCTTGTACATGTGCCATTGCATAACGAAGTGTACCCACTTATTACCTTGCAGGAATAACTTTATTGCTTTGTAATTTGAAGGTGATTTTTGGATTGTTTAGTGGAAACATATGGAAAGGACTTCCATTATTCTTGGTTTGAGATTAGGAAATGGTTTGCAAATCAGTACCAATAATTGTCTTCTTTCACCAATTGTATAGGAGATGCTGGAAGCTCTCAAGGCACTTTCCACCTTTTTTGTTGAAAATAGTTTGCGGACTCGAAGAAATTTACGTGGAGATATTGAACGCAGAAGCTTAGCCATCAATGAAGAATTTGTAAGCATTTTCAAGGAAGTGAAGGAGGTGTGTGTATTCAGCATATGTAGCATTTATTGAGAGCTTACTGTACGCTTGGCTCTGTGCTGACTTTTTTTGAGTTAGGTTGATAGGTTTGGTGTTAATTTGCCATGTTCAAATAGAAAACAACTTACTGTATCTCTTATATTTTCAGACATGATTTCCTATCCACAATTTGTCCTCATGGTTTGTTTTAGTCCTGCTTAACTGCTGTAATATCTCTGCTCTGACTGGCCTGTCCCTTCATAAAACTGTTGTGTTTCTATTTGAAGCTCTGGATTTTATGTTGACAGGGACTGCAGTATGACTCTGTCTACCACCAAAACTTCTTTCTTGTGTATTTTTAGGTAGCGAAACACTGAACTGAATGCAATGTGAGGCTAGATGTAATTCTGTGTTGTGATCACATTTTCATATAAGGTATTGGCAAAGTAAAGAGTAGAGAATTGCTTTGAAAGGGGTTGAGTGTATAGCCTGGGACCTATTGCAGTTTTTTAATCCATACTAGAGATAATAACTGACCTGAACTAAAGTATGTAATGGCTGTTGAGTATTAGAAAAGAAGTAAATAAGATGTATGCATGAAGGGAAGGTCAGTATTAGAATTTAGGGGCTAAATGTATGCTGCCCTTGGAGAGAAGTAGAAGGGAAAATACATGGAGAGAGATTGTTACCAGGAGAATTAGATTTTTAGCATAATCTACCAGTAGTATTTGATGATTTTCAACAAAATAAGAGGAGCAATTATTGTTAATTTATTTGGTTTTCAAATTTGCTTGTTTTTATTAATTAAAATTTCTAATGAATTCATTGTTAAAGTTAGTAATACTTATGATCCAACCACCCAGAATTAAAAATATTAACTATATTGTATTGAGTGGCCTTCTGTGTGTCCTTCTGTACATATGTATGTAGATTTCTAAAAATGTGGGAAGATACTGTATGTATAATTTTGTGATTTTTTATTTACCCTTTGTAGAAATCTTTTCGTAAACATGTATGTACATCATTATTGTTATTGTATAGTCAGAAATATGTCACATTTTTCATGTTTTAGGCAGTTCTACATTAATCATCCTCATGTATATTGTTGTATACTATTGCATGCTTATCTGGGCAATTCTGAAATCAGTTATTTTTATTTTTTAAAAAATTGAAAGTTTGTGCCTATTTATCATGTACAACATAATGTTTTAAGATATGTGTAAATTGTGGAATGGTTAAATCTACTAATTAACATATTTGGCCTTACACAGATACCATTTTTGTGGTCATAGTATAACTTTTCAGCATTAAAATTTGTATAAAGAAATCTGCATATTTTTAAAGCATTTAATGTTTTCTTATACTCCTAAAGAGAATGTTACAAAGGTTTGCTTATACCTTTTTAGTATGAAATATTCTTTCTAGTCACTCCAGTTTTAGATATGGGATCTATTGACATGCCTTGATCAGAAAAATTTATGGGACTAAAATAAAGATTTGGCTAAGAAAAAAGAAATTTAACAGTATATACTATGTTTGATTATTTTTCTCCTTTTCAGGAGCTTGAAAGCATAAATGAAGATGTTCAAGCAATGAGCAGTTGTTGTCAGGATATGACAAGCCGCCTACAGGTACTGTATAATTAGTTATAGCTCCTGGTACAAAGTAAACTTCCAGAAGTTGTTTGGTAAGTCTGTAAAATATATGGACATGATATACATCATACCCTGTAGGAAGTTTGAATATAAATACTGTACTATTTTTAAAAAACTATAAACGTTTATATATCTTTGGATGATGGTTTATTAGTAATGTTCAGTTAAGTCTAAAAGCCTTTATATTTTGGTCTAGCTTCTACTGAGCTAACTGTGTAGAATGTGTACAGCCCTTTCAATTCTGTACCATCCCAGAAGTTCAGCAGCAATGAATTCCTTAGTAGAATATCTTGGGAGTAAGTTCAAACTATATCTGTGTTTGTAAAGACCCAGCCTAATTCTGTTATAGGTTTAGCCTAAAATGTGCAAAATACTGGGTCTGTTTACCTAAGCAGTCCTAAACCTGCAGTTTTACTGCGGAATCTGCATTTAACCTAGTTAAAGTAATTTTAGAACAGGAATAAAATAGGTTCCTCCTAAGAGTCAGTCATGATTATGTCTGCTACCTTCACATTTTATTTCCAAGCTTCTGAGATTCTTCTGGACCCACCAATTACAAGTGATTATAGGAAGTGTCATTGATCTATGCACTCTATAAATTAATCATAGGCTACTTGTGTGATCTCTCTGTAGGTAGGGCTAGTCAATTTCCTGTTTCTCTAAAATTGTATTTTTCCTGTTTTTTCTACATTTTGATAGTTACTAATATATCACATACTTTTGCCATGTATATGGTCTCTTAGTCCAGTTTTTAAATCTTTAATTTTATAATAAATAATCATATAAGCTATTGGATAATAAATAGTCATATAATCATGTAATCATTTCACGTTTTTTGTAGATACTACTTTTATTGCCTAGTGATTAGTTTTAACCATCCCTTTCTTTACCTTTTATTTCCTTTTCTTATCTTCTAGTTTCTATAAGTTAATATGCCTTCTAAAATCATACTCTATGTCAGATGTGGTGGTACATACCCATAATCCCAATTCTGTGAGTAGCTGAGGCAAGTGGATCACATGTTCAAGTCCAGACTGAGTAATTAAGCAACTTGGAATCATAACAGTAGCTATTCATATGTCAGCTTGAGCTTGATGTTTTAAATTTATTTATCCATAAATGAAAGTATTTCTTAAAGTATTTTCCCTTCTTATTTTAGGATATTATAAGAATTAATGTACTTATCATTTTATAAAATATTTTAAACATGGGGCATTAAAAATTATTATTATGAGATAACATTTAAAAATTTAATAATTTTATGCATGTTATAGTTTATCTCTTTAGCTGTAGTTTTGCTTATTATTATTATTTTTTTTTTGGTTTTTCTCCGGTACCGGGAACTGAACTCACGACCTTGTGCTTGCCAGGCAGGCCCTTTGCCCCTGAGCTAAATCCCCAGCCCCTGTAGTTTTGCTTATATAAATTTAGAGTTATATTTATTATTTAATGAAAACTAATTATCTTTAACATTGCTGATAAATTAACTGGAAATTATTTTAGGATAATCTTTGCAAATATTATTAAATATTTTTGAGTCATCACCACAGTTTGTAAATGTGGAATCAAGAAGTACACAAAAATATTTGAAAATTCTTACTGTGTTGCATTGCACTAAACTTATACTATTTCACTGATTTGTTAGATGATATTGATTACAATATACATTCTCAATTTAATGACTAAGACTAAAAAGACTAGTTAACATTTTGTGAAGCTTTGTTTTCTCAGAAATATTAAAAATGTCAATATTTTTTAGAATTGAGGGCATTCTGTCTTTGAGAAAATTGTATGAGGCAAGAATGTACAAAGGGGGAAGTTAAACTTTAGAGCAAAATGACATTAAAAAATATAAGCATTTGAAGAAGTTACTGGATTTGAAGACTCATGATTCTACCTAGCCAGGGAACCTCATATTTTCTATTAGTTAAGGTACTCGGCTGACCTATGCATGTGCAAATCTATCTATTAAAAATATCCATTGTTTGGTAGGAACATAATTTGGTTTCAGGGACCACAGTATTATTAACAGAACCTCTAGAAAGCAGTAGGTTAGGATTTTAACTGAGAACCTGAGAACTGTTTGCAGGAAGGAGACTGAGACAGTACATACCTAGAGATGGAGGATGAGGCCTTAAGAACCCCGAGCCTAGATGCCTAGATTTGAGGCAGCTCTAGAAACCGTAGAGGAATGTTGGCTCTTTATTGTAGTGTTTGTCTTAGTTACTTTTCTCTCGTGGCTGAGACAAAATACCCAACACCCAAAGTTAAAGGAGGATACGTTTATTTAGCTCACAGTTTGCAGCAGTTTCAGTCCATAATTGGCTGGCTGCAAGGCAGAGATGGCACATGGCAGAGGGCAACAGTTCATGGCAGCAGAGGACAGCAAAAGCAACAAGAGCGAAAGGAAGAGAGAGAGAGAGAAAGAGCAAGCTCCTTTCCCTCCCTTATATTGTATACGGGCTGCCTGCCCCAGGGCAGGTGTAGCACTCCCACCCACAATCCCAGCATTGGACCATGAATCAATCACAAACTCTAGAAACCTACCCCATGACTGCATGAGGCTTTGGAGGCACATCTAGACACAAACCATAATAGTATTTGAGTCTGAAAATGACCCAGTATCTTCAGGTGTTTACTTGGGTATCCTCCTTTTAACAGATGACTGACTGTCTGCTTTACGTTCCAATGTTTATAGTTTCCACTTAGAAGTGTCCTAATATATGTGTAATTCTGACTCAGGCCCCTTCCAGGCAGGGACCTTATGTTTCTACTTATCTTATGTCCACATTGCCTCTCCTCATTGCTCACTGCCTAGATGTGCTGTTTTCTTCAGTTTAGATCTTTGGGAGACAGTCCCGTTGGCTGCACTTGTTTTTTTTTTTTTTCATGAAAATTTTTCTAATCTTTGAACAGAATTCTTTTTCATCAGGTTTTCATTCCTGATCTTTTCAGCTTTGGCTTTGAAGAAAGAGCGTTGCGTGGTGAGAAATAGTCCTTTAGGTGGGGCTATCTCTAATTCTCACCAATACCCTACTTGGCAGGTTGTTCATACATTCTAACTCACATTTTTATATCCATCTCATGCAGTTCCATTGAACTCTATATCAGCATTTTCTTGACTTTATTTATAAGAGGTCTCAGTTTCTCATCCAGGCATGTTATAGCTGAAGTCAGGTTCTCATCTTTAGTTTGCTCTTTCAGTGCTTTTGTTGCATAAAAAAAAGCCTGATGATTGGTGAAGTTCCTTAGCCAGAATCTAGATACCTTTTTCTTCCTCCAAAGCCTTAGCATTATGTTTATATTGAGTACTCTGAGGTTGATCCTTCTATCAGAGGTGCTATAAGAGCCATGAAACATCTCTTTCAGTTTCTTGGGCCTTTTCAAAAACTTTTTGAGTTTTGGGGTGTGCTCTCATTGCTATCAGCCTGAATTGCAGTAATGTTTTGAAATATAATGAAAGTGGAATGTGCTAATGTTGGATTGTTTATAATTTTAGGCAGCAAAGGAACAGACTCAAGATTTGATAGTAAAAACCACTAAACTTCAAACTGAAAGGTAAGTTTTTCTTTATATCGTCACCTCTTCATTAATTAGTGCTTCAGTGGAAAGAAAATTGTTTATAAATCCAAATCAAGATTAACATAATCAAAGCATGATTCAAAATTGATACAAGACATAGGGTTCTAAGTTATTATCCAATAGTAATTTAAACATAAAAACAGTAGATTAGGAACATTAAACTTGATACTGAGTTTGAGAGTTTATTTCCTTTTTGGAATAGAAATGGTGATGTCCCATTGTTTACTGTGCAGTTCAGAAATTGCTGCTTTTTAAAATGTAAATGTTTTCAGACTTTTAATAATTTTCTTCACAGTTATTTTTTTATTATGATTTATCTCTTCTGATATAAGAAATAGTTAACTGTGTAAGTTTTCCTTATGGTTTACAAAAGTAAGTAAACTGCTGATTGAAAGAATGAGTGAATGAAGTTAAGTGTAGTGATTATTGTCATATGTTGTATTGAATATTACTAAAACACATTAACAGAGTTAAAAAAGAAAAGCCATGCATCTCATGTGTCTGGAGTAGGGGGAGAAAAATCTGCTGTGATGTAATACACCTGTGCTCAGCTCAGTAATGGGATGTTCTTTAAATCTTTGAGTCTTCTAGGTATTTTGTCAGTAATGTGGAGATACTGTACTAGTATCTTCATTGATCATTATGGAGTAGCTCTGCTGTACTGTAGAGCAGAAGTTGTCAAACTGTGAAGATAAGCAAAATACATCTTTCACCTACTTTTGTAAAGAAAGTTTTGTTGGGACACATGATACTTGTGTGTTTATGTACTATCGTCTGTGGTTGCTTTCACTCTGCTACAGTGGAGTCAGGTGATTACAGCAGAGACTATCTACGACTTACAGAACCTCAAATATTTATTGTTTAGACTTTTCCAGAAAATGTTAGTCAATCCTGATCAAGGGAGTGCTTTTCAAATTGTAGATCAAGACCAGTAAGTTGTGAAGTTACTTAGGTAGGTGATAAGAACCTTAAATGAACTAGGGTGAAATAAAGTAGAAACTAGTTGAGGTAAATATATTTTATGAAACCTTTGTTTCCATTTCTGGTAATGGTTTAAAGTATAATTCTTAATGTCAGTCATGGTCAGAAAATTGAAAAATACCACCCCAGACCATAGAATGGCAAGCACGTGGCACTCCTCTTTTGTTTCACATCTATTAGTCTTTTTTTATTATTTTAGTTTCTTAGTACATTTGTGTAGTACATAATTAGTCTTGACATAGTTTCATATTAAGCCCTTAATCCTTCTTAACACAGTTCTCCTTGGACTAAAATATGGATAATAGGAAATGATAGAGTTCAGAGATACAAAGTTACTTCCATGAAAGGATGGGAATCTCAGGACTACAAAGGACTCATTGTGTGGGATGATCCTGTTAAGATCATGATGCAGTTAAGACAGTAACCAATATAATTTGCTTTTCTAGAGTAAAATGCTTGTGATGGTTCATCTTGATTGTGAGCTTGCTGGGCTTGAGAGATTCCTGGGAGAGGAATTAAAACAATTTCTGGATGTACCAGGGGGGTCATGAGGGGTGTGACCTTGGGGGATCTCTTGCTCTTTTCTCTCAGGCTTTTTGTCGGCTCTCTGAATTTCTGATATTATGAATTGAGCAGCTTCTCTCTGCTGTGCCATGTTTCTGCCTTGGAGCCAAGCCACCATGGGCTGAAACATTAGATATTGTGACCCAAAATAAACCTCTCCTCCTTTAAGCTGCAGGGTCAGATATTTTTGTCTCAGCAGTGGAAAGCTGAGAAATACAGTAATATTCACTAAAATGAGCAAAATGAAATATTTTAGCTACTAACACAATCGTTAAAATACTTTCATTAGCAAATTCTATAAAACAAATCAATCATATTTTTTTAACACGTGTAGGTAATATACTATTAGATATTGGAATGTCTACATTATATTAGATCTGTGGTTTTCAAATAATGATATACTGACCCTTAGGGTTCCTTCACAAGAATTAGGAGGATTTGGACAAGGGCCAGAATCTCCCACTATAATGTGAGTTAGAACAATTTCATGTGTACTTTTTTAATATATTAGGATTCCACATAAGATTTTATTTGAAAGATTACTTTGGGAGACTGAACCAGGAGGATTAAAATTCCTGTATCACTTAGGCATGATCCAGCTACTCCAGGAAGCCCCACCTATGAACACATGAGGCTTTGGGGGGACTTCTAGATATAAGCCATAACACATGGTATCTTATTCAGGCAAATGTATAAATGCCATGAATATGTTTTCAGCTCAGAAGGAGCTCAGTCCTAATGACAGCTTATGACTGAATAAGCTCAACAGAGTTGTCTTCTTAAGACCTCAATTTAATATGTCCCTTTCATGGGTCATTGAGAGCCAACAGGTAGGTGTCATTGGTGGTCAGGAGAGGCTGTGCGCATAACTGTACATTCTACTCGTACTGGAGTCACTATTTCTTCATCTTTTTTTTTGTTTGTTCATTTTTCTTCCCATACCAGGAATTGAACCCACGACCTTGTGCTTGCCAGGCAGGCGCTGTGCCGCTGAGCTAAATCCCCAGCCCCTGGAGTCACTATTTCTTACAGTTTTATCATTGATAAAGACCTACCAGCCAGGTTTCTCTGGGGACTCAGAAAAATAGCCTCAGGAGAATACTTACTTATTTATTTGTTGAGGTTCACTATTTTAAAACAGAAGGATTATAGGCTTTGAAGACAAATACAAATTCTAATCTGAATTGCATGTAAGAGCTTATTAGTATTTAAATTTTACACAAATTATTTCTTTACCTCCCTTGGCCTAAGCTTCTACATCAGAAAAAGAGAACAGCATCTATGTCATAAGGTTATTGTTATGAATAAATTATTAACATAAGGGGCACACTGTCTGACATACATGAAAAAATATGATCCTTTCTACTCCCATTTTATTGGACAAAACTGTAGTGCATCTTCTTTCTACATCTGCTTTGCTATGAAACTGAGACTGTTTTATGCTTCTTAATTGCAAGAGCTTTCTTAGCTAGATTTGTCTTCTTTTCTCTGTATTTTTTACTACGTTAGTTTTTAGTAGTTTTAATTTGATTGTGTAGTACACTACTTTAATCCAGGTTTTGAAATTGGTAATGAACATGAAATAATTTATTTTGCATGAATGTACATGTAAAAATACATTGCAGAAGTATATGTGATCTGTTTCTTTTGTTGTCTAATAGAGGGTCAGGGGAAGGCTCAGAAGTTACTATCTCTCCTTTCTTCTTCCTTCCATTCTCCCTTGACCCTGTGTCTGACTATCCAAAAGAAGACACTGTTGGTGACATACAGGAGTCAAGCTTAGACAGGAAATGTTTATTTTCACTGGAAGTGAAGATTTAAAGGAAGACATAGTATAGCACATTCCTTGTCTGTGGCTAGTGATCCTGCTTAAGGACAACATATCCTAGGAAGAAAATTTTATGAGTAACTTTTGGTTCAAGAATTTTAAAATTGAGTTTGGAGGTTTAATGGAATTTTTAGTTAGTCAGTTAATTCCATGGAATTGAGGATTGAATCCAGGGAGCCTTGAGTTATATTCTCAGCCTGTTTTTAATTTTTGTTTGAGTTAGAGTCTCACTAAGTTGCCCAGGCTGTCCTTGAACCTTGATCGTCTTTCCTCAGCCTTTTCAGTAGGTGGGATTATATCTGTCAGTCACCATGTACAGCTTTATAGATTTTTTACATTAAATTATTTCTAATCTAACCGTGTTTTGTTGCTCTCCGTACACAAGAGCCTGCTTTTGGTGGGCAGTATCATTTATAGTGAATAATGCTGTTTATTTCCTGATTTAACTGCATTCATCCACAAGGTACAGTTTTTCTGTGTTCTTGTTCATTTCATTTGGAATTCCATCTACCAAAATGTGTTTATTAAAAAGTTATTTGTCCTTTAAGGTCTTATTATATATATGTGGTGTACAACCATCATACATTTCAAGGTATTTTACAAAATTTTGAATTTAGGCAAGTGTGTATGTGCATATCTCTCTCTCTGAGTGTGTGTGTGTATGTGTATTCCTTGAGAATAAGTGTATCTATGTATGTGCATAAATATGCTTCCAAGAAAATACTACTTGGAAAAAATATTTCAGTTCATAGAAAATTTAGTTTACCTTTGTACTGTACAGTTGTTATCTAGCTATTTTCCATGCTTGTCTAAGGGCCTGTACTCAATCATGAAAACAAAATGAATCAGTTCCTTTGTTGTACTCCCACAACATGTTGCAGTGACAGCACTTATCTTCAGCTCTAGAATTCCTAAACACTTGGTAGACATTTTGGTCTTTGTTAATTTTAACTGGATAGGAAGATTTTGTACTCAGTGCTTTGTACATGGGAAGCTTTTTGAATTGACTATGTTACTCAGTTATTTTAATATTTTAAGTAGTTATTGCTGATGTTGCCTATGATAATTTTTATGACTTGAGAATCTTTCTTTGTAGGAATAGTAGTGATTGTGCTTATTCTGACATCAAAATTACTAAGAATGAGAAGTACCAAGCTGGGAGAATATGCACTAATTAGAGACTGTGTTTTTAAATACATTTTTTTTTTTGTTTTGTTTTGTTTGTTTTTTTTGTTTTTCTCCGGTACCGGGAACCGAACTCACAACCTTGTGCTTGCCAGGCAGGCGCTTTGCCGCTGAGCTAAATCCCCAGCCCCTAGAGACTGTGTTTTTAAATGTATTTTCTATGGTTGCATAAAATGGCATCGTATTAAAAAGTAGAGGTATATTTTTTACTTGAAAAATCTTGGTTGAGTTGTAATTCACATACTGGTATGTCCTGGACTTATAGTATATAATTCGTCACTTTTAGTATATTCACAGAGTTGTGCAACCTATCACAATCTAAATTTGAAACATTTTCATTACCCTAGAAAGAAATGTCATGAATATAAGCAGTCACTGCACCTTTAATCAAGTATGAGTCTGTTCGTGGCCTGTGATTTGCCTATTCTGGACCTCATGCAAATGGACTCATACACCATGTGGCCTTTCTTGTCAGTTTCTTTCACTTAGCATAGATATTTTCAAAGCTCATCTGCATTATTCTATTCCATTGTACAGATTCACCACATTTTGTTTGCTAACTGATAAGCATTTGTATTATTTTGACATTTTTGCTATTATGAATAATGGTATGGTTATATACAAGTTTTTGTGTAGACATACACTTTTATCTCTCTTAGGCATATATGTAGTAGTAGAATTGCTGGATTGAATTTAATTTTGCTTAATTGAGGAATTGCCAGGCTGTATTCCAAAGAGTCTAAAGTTTTATATTCCCAGCAACAATGTATAAGAATTCTGTAACATCTTTGCTATTATTTTTGTGATAATAACGTGCTACCTTACGTGAAGTGATAATCTTATTGTAGTTTTGATGTTTCCTGAATGACTGATGATGTTGAGCATCTTCTCGTGCACTTATTGGACATGTGCATATCTTCTTTGGACAAGGGACTATTCCTCTCTTTTGCCTATTTGAGGGGAGTCTTTATCTTTTTATTTACTGATTCTTTATGAGTTCCTTATATATTCTGGATACAAGTTTCTTATGTTTTATGATTTGTACTATTTTCTCCTGTCCTCTGGGTTATCTTTTCACTTTATATTGTTTAATGCACAAATGCTCTTAACTTTTACATAGTCCCATTTATACTTTTTTGTTACTTGCTATGTTTTCTTAAAAATGTCTTTACATTGGAATTATTTTATCTCTTAGTTTCTAAAATGGTAAAATGGAAGATTTGGAAATTTGGCCAAGGGTGGTATAGCACACTTATAATTGTAGCACTTTAGAAAGCTGAGGCAGGAGTGTCACAAGTCTGAGCCCAGCCTTGGCAGATCATGTAGTTCAGTGCACAGGACACACACACACACGCACAATTTCAAAATTTGTTTTTTTCACTGAATTTTAAAATTATGGCATGAGACTGGAAATGCTTACATATGAACAGCCTACTGTAGGAACTTACAGGGTTTTTCTCACTAATCAGTTTTTATTAGCCAGTCTTTTATAAGATGTTTAACTTTCAGTTTGATACATTATAGAAACTTAAAGTGGAAAATTTTTCTATTTTAGAATCAAGAGGAATCTTGTAGAAACACTGTTACTTAGGGGTTATAATTGACAACCAGATGCTTAAAAATCCTGTCAAAACGGGGCCATTTCGCTTATCTCTCTTTTGAGTAATTAGTTAAAAGGAATTTCTTGAGTATAGAAAAGTACATTTTCTTCAATTTTTTTTTTTTTTATGTAATGTGTCTATTGCATGAAATTTAAAGAAAGTTAAAATCAGGTATAAGTGGTTACAGTTATATTAAAGCTTTTTCACTTAATATTTTACATATACTTTCTTGATTTTTATTTTAAAAGATGTCTTTAATGTTAATGTTCTATTTTATCTTGAGTGAACCCACATATATTTAACCTTTTTTTTTGGTACCGGGAATGAAACTCAGGATCTGGTGCTTGTCAAGCAGGCTTTTGTGCCGCTGAGCTATATTCTTGGCCCTGTTGAACCATGTGTTGTTGTTGTTTTATTTTGTTTTGTTGGTACTGGGAATTGAACTCACGACCTCGTGCTTGCCGGGCAGGTGCTGTGCTGCTGAGCTACATCCCTGACTGTTTAACCATTTTTAAATTAGTGAATATTCATATTTTTTCCATTTCAAAAAATAGTGGTTGGGTAAATGTTTAAAATTCATTACATAAAGTTCACTTTATTTGCTTAGAACAACTAAAATTGTAATTAATGAATCTATGCTATAAACTTTTGAAGTGTCCTAATGTGTATTTGTCTAATTTGTCTCTAAAGAGATTATACTAATTTATACATAGAGTAGATATATATGTGAAAGTATATATAAGAGTATGTCTTACTAAAACATTGTAAACACTGTATTATCATTAAAAACATTGCCATATTTATAGGTGAAAGATACTATTATACTGTTTTAATTGATGTGTCATCCAAGAGTGGTCAGTTGACATATTTTTCATTGTTTTGCCATTTACATTTCTTCGCATTTTTAAAATTTTGCTTTATATCCTATGTCTATTTTTTTTTTTTTATTATTTTGAAATGATTTTGTGGAGAGCCTGGCAGGTAGAGTTAATATATGACAAAGGTGTATTTTAAGGGGAAAAGGATTTCTAAATCATGTTCTGGAATTATTTGATGGAATTAAAAAATGAAAATTGAGTGGTCTGTTTAAATTATTAAACAGTATGTAACTGAATATGGCAAATGTAGTGCATATATAGTTACCTTTTACAAATGAATGCAGCTGGGCATGGTGGCAAGTGCCAAAATCCCAGCACTTAGGGGGGATTTCAGGATCACCGTGAGTTCAAGGCCAGCCTAGACTGCATAATACGTAGGGAGACCCTGTCTCAAAAAACAGAAACAAACAAAAGCGTGGGAGTTTCCATAAATATTTTTCTGCAGCTTGCTTTTTGTATTTATAAAATGTCTTATAAAGCAATATTTACCGACATAGATATACTTCATATTTTTAATCTGCACATTTTGCAGTATGTCTTTGCTCTCTCTGTATATGTATCTTATGACTTATTTATATCATGTATAGTGATTGCATGAGTATATCTCCGGTACTCTAGAAATTATATTCATTTATGTAAAAGGGCTTACATTAACTATTTCATGTTATTGTTAGATATTTACATTGGTGCTGTAAGGTCAGGGCTGGGCCAGCATCATATTTGCCTCTGTCACACGAGCCTCCTGTGGGACTTTCCCCGGTAATACTGTTTCAGTGCACAAATGCTACCAAGCAAATCAAAGAACTTTCTGGCAGTAAGTTTCTGTCAGAATGGTTGTGTTTATTTACCTGATAAGAGTATATAGGGTAAAACTAAAGAGGAATATGATTTTTAAAATATATTACAATTTATTTTGTTACTACTTAGAAGTTGGTGTCTTGAGAAAGCAGGCCCTTGTTTTAACAGCAGGGCCATTGTTGGAATATCTTTGGGCTGTCCCTTGTAGATTTAAAGTATGTGGTTCGCTCCTTATCTCATGAATTGTTCTTTAGACCCAGCACCTGTATTACTTGGAACCAATTAAGTGACTGATGGGGTTGCTCAAGACGGCAGCCCTAGTTTTTAGTTAGAACAAAATGAAACTATGAACTAAAGAGTCTGATTTTTCTTTGTCCCCTAATAAATTGATTCTAAAGATTGATTTTAAAAGCTCCAAAAAGATTGTGGTTGTGAAATGATTAACTTGTAAAGCATCAAGAAATTTTCTGAAGCTTTATAATTAAATACTGTATGATGGTGATTAGAACTTACTTTAATACTATAAAACAAACCCTGCTAAGGTGACTTTTAGATAAAAATAATATGTTAAGTGAAATGAATCAGACACACACACTGAAATATTGTGTGGTTTCTCTTATATGAGAAACCAAAATTATAGATAAAGAGCAAAATATAAGATAGATAATAGGAAGTCAGAATGTAGATGTTTCTCAGATGGGAAGGAGATCAAGAGGTGGAGTGGGTGAGGGAAGAGAAAAGGAAGGGAAAAAGAAGTGAAGATGAAGATGTGCTGTGTACATGGACCAACTCCACACCAGGAATGGAAACATTGTGTACAGCAAATGTAATAAAATTAAAAAAATAAAAATAAATTTTTAAAAAGCTATGCCCTTTGACTGTGTATACTTAGATGATTTACTTCCTCATTTGAGATAAATACTTAGCGGCTTTTCCTTTGTGAGTTTCTGTGTTGCTCAGCGGGAGCGTGTGGTTTTGTGAATTTAAAACCTTTTCACCCAGTGGTACAAAGAGGACAAAACAAGTGTACTGTGCAGTCTCTACAAATGCTGTCAGCGTTTACTCTGTTAATTCTCATTCGAATGTTGTTGGATTATGGAGGGCTGCTACTCTAAACACTAGTGGTGAAATACTTCTATAATTTCATTTGTACGTCTTCAGATCTAAGATATAGAAACCAAGAATGGTGAGTTTCTGTGTCTGCAGTTCACCGTCATGACGGGCCTTTACATGGAAATCCTGCCTCATCTGGCACGTCTGTGGATTGCATCCAGAATAAAGTGTGCCTTTTCCTAGTTGTCAACCAGTCTACTTAGGTTGCATTCACATAATACAATTTGAAAGAAAGTTTTTATTATCAAGGAGAAGACATGGAGTAGACCAAAGTAGAGAAGGGACTTTTACCTATTTTTGAAAGATTAGTAAAGGAATTGGTGATTGTAGCCAAAATAAAAAACAAATCGACCTGATATTTAATTGTGCGTATTTCGTATGAAAACTTCAGACACTTAAGATATATTAGTGACTGTGAAGAAATTGATCAAAACAGGAGCACATTTCTTTCCCAGAAAATAACCTTTTAAATTATAAGTTAAATTATTCAAGTATTTGTAAGTGGCTGAAACTTTGTAATGTAATAGAACTTATTTTTTCTTTTACATAATGATCTGCTCCTTTCACTGTGTGTGCATATCTAAGGTAGAACAATATCAGCAAATTTTATCACGTACATATCTGGTGAGCCTGTGATAATTTTATTACATGTAAGACTGATGAGCTTCCAACATTTAAGACAAAACAAAGAGGTTTTTAAAGATGCTGAGTCTTTTACACCTTTACTTTCAAAAGTTGTGTCAGATATAATTTGTTTATAACTGTGCACATGCATAATATGTTTGATTTGTATTGCTTTTTTCATGATAGCCAAAGATTAGAAATAAGAGCACAAGTAGCAGATGCCTTCTTATCCAAGTTCCAGCTGACTTCTGATGAAATGAGTCTCCTCCGAGGTACAAGAGAAGGACCTGTTACTGAGGTACTCTTTTTATTAGGATCACTTAAAGTGTAGCAGTTAGGGATTTATAGAGAACATGTTATTTTGAATCTTTATTTTTCTATCTGGAAAAAAATTTCATCTGAAAATACTTTTAAATTTGGAGATTAGCATGCATATTCAATTACTTTTTAAAGTTTTAGTTTTTTTTAAGGTATACATGTATTTTTAAAGTCAATACCACACAGCTTATTACTTGTATAACTTTTGCCATTCCTCCCTACCTTTGTCACCCAGATTCCAGCTTGTCAACTGCTTCTTCTGTAAATTCTGTACTCTAGATCTGTAATTAAAAAGAATAAATTGTGACTGTCTATGCTAACTGCTTTCTGCTGATTTCCCATTGTGGAATATGATGATTAAGCCTCTTACCTCCTCTCCCCACCACAACGCAAACAAGACACACATGCATCTGCTTCTTCCTACCTCGCAGTACAGTCGTGCCACATTTTCTATTTTCATTACAGTGGTGTGACATTGATCCTGTGGTATTTTTAAAATAACTTTTTGTCTTTTCTGGAATTGGACCTTTTCACCTAAATTCTTGAGTAATGGCAGTCTTTGCAAACCGGTAGGATTATAAAATTTTGCAAATGCTAAACAAAGAAGTTTTTCTGCCTCCCTCTTTCTCTTTTTCTTCCCTTGCATCTTAGTTATTCTCCCTTTTTTCTTGCCGTTTCCTCATTCCCTTCCTTCTTGCCTTTCCCCTGAAAATACGAAGTTGTACCAGAAAGGAATCTTTCAGCCTCCTAACTGGGAGGAGGTATTTAAGTCTGTGGTTATCATTCTGGCATCAGGGGGCAAGTGGGATTCTTGAGGTGGGGTGGGGTCTCCTTGGATGTCTCGTGGTTTTGTACATATCTGAAACTAAGGCTCCAGCACATTTTTGTAAAGAAAAAAAGCCAGTTTTCAGTTCAGTATCAACTAATTCCTATGTAATGAGCATTTTTTATATGTCTCACTTTGCATCCTGCTTTTGGATGGAGGCAAAAACAGGAACATAGCACATACAAAATATCTTCAGTGATAAGAGTACCATGCTGAAATCCTAAGATATGTTATACATAGTGTTATGTTTCTTTACTCTTTATGTTTGTATTTCTGTCTTACTAGACTGTATCCTTTTGGAGAACAGAAATTTGTATGTTTAAAAATGTGATATTCCTGGTAATTAGCACATTATTTGGCACATATTAGGCATTGAATTAATACATTTTGTAAAATATGAATACCTGTTATACCTTCTATAAAAATCTGAAGAAAATTGAGATCAGTACAGAAAGACTACTGGAATAGGTGAAATTTTGTTTTCCCTTTGTAATGTTCTTTACTTGAGAATACTGTAATTTTGCCTGAAAGCAGAGACATTTCAAAATCACATTCTTAATTTTAAAGGACTTTTTCAAGGCCTTGGGAAGAGTAAAACAGATTCATAATGATGTCAAAGTACTCTTGCGTACAAACCAACAAACAGCAGGGTGAGTATGTATTGAGCTAATTGCATTGTTCATGTTATTATAGCCAAAATTTTTAGACATTGTAGAGTTTTTTTTGAGACAAGGTTTTGCTATGTAGTTCAAGCTGGACTTGAACTCACTGGGTAGCCCAGGCTGTGCTTGAATTTGCACCAGTCCTTCTACTTTAGCCTCCTGAGTGCTAGGGTTACAGGCATGCACCTCCACGCCTGGGCAAATGGTCTAGATTCTTTCTGAAGCTATATGACATTTTGTGAAATAGAAGTTTGATCTTTATTTTTCTTTGGAAGAGGGTAGTCTTATACTGTGATGTGTTTACACTAAAACGGCAGTTGATAAGCAAATGATGGAATTAAAATTTGATATTTAATTGCCAAAAAAAACTGGAAAATCATGATAAAATGATAAAATTTAATATACTATAGCCAAATCATTATATAATTTAAGTAAAAATAGTTAAGTGCTTACATATAGCTGTTGACTAGAAGTTTAAATTGTAATAAATCTTTAAATTGTTTTTAGTTTAGAAATTATGGAACAGATGGCTTTACTTCAAGAAACAGCTTATGAAAGACTTTATCGGTGGGCTCAAAGTAAGTGATATGTTTCATGTTGTCTAGCTTTGTGAAAATAAATATCTGATTTTTAAAATTTCTCTTGGCCTTTGATATATTTTGATTATAGTAATAAAAAGAAAAGCAAACTACATTTGAGCATTAGTTTGTGCTTGTGTCATGAGCATTTATCATCAGTCAGGCAGTATAGTTGATGAATAAGCATAAAAAATGATTGTTTCTGACCTAGATTATCTTAAAGTTGATTGTATATCTCATTTACATAACTGTAAAGTTGTAAGTGGTGAGTTGTCTCTTTTCACTGTAACAAATTCCTACAAACTTAACAGCTTACAGTAACACAAATTGATTATCTTAGGTTTCTGTAGGTCAGACATCAGGCATAGTAGTTCTCACTATGCTAAGGTCAGTATTGGCAGAGCTACATTCAGGGGTGGAGGGTCCTAAAGGAGAGTCCATCTCCTTACTCATTCAGTTTGTTGGGTACAGCTCAGTTCCTTGCAATTGTAGGGTTGAGGTCTTGTTTCCTTGCTGGCTGCCACTGAGTTTTTCCAGGTTTCTAGAAGCTTATTCTTTGGTTTATGACCTCCTCTTCCATCTTCAGAGCCAGCCAAGGAAGATTAGGACCATCTCTCACTTTGAACTCCTATTCCTCCTGTCTCTTACCCTATCTCTGATACACACTTCTGCCAGCATCTTCCATTTTAAGACTACAAGACTATCTTGGGCACTTGAGTAATCTGAAAAAATCTCCCTACTTTAAGGTTTGTCCCTGCAAAGTCCCTTTTGCTATAGAAGCTAGTGTGTTTCCAGGTTCCAAGGATTAGAATGTGGGTAACTTTGAAGGTGATTATTTTGATTATCACAAATGCTTTATTTGCTATTGTTTTAAAATGATTCAGTGAACTGTTTGCACAATATCCCGTTACAACCAGAGAAGACAGTCAGAAGACCAAAAGTGGGATAATGGAATAAGAACATTGGTATTTTATTAGGTGTTGCCAACTCACTGTTGGAAGGGTTAGAAGGTGTTGGAATTAAATCCAGTTAACTAGTTATACATATACTTGACACAGGTATGCTATGTACCTGTAGTTCTCCTATACTGGGTGACTTACCCAGGTGGGCTAGATTATTTACTGTTTATCCCTCCCTCTGTTATTGTTTACCGTTTACTCCCATCTGTTGTCTGACTCTCTTTCTGTCCAAATCCTTTCAACCTTCCAAGTTGAAGGTCCTCTACAGCTTCCTGTGACTACAGTAAATCGCAGCAAATTCTCATCTCTGAATACTAACCACTGGAAACATTTACTCAGCATCTGACGATATGCTACTCTTATTATTTAATAACTCTTCACAATGAATTTGTTATTTCTGTAGTTAGATTATAGTTTCTCAAAGCCAAAGATGTCATCTCAAATTTTATTGCACTCCCTCACCGTCTAACAGAGCGGTTCCTGCCTGCGGGGTGGGTGTAGAGCTTTGTGAAGATGCATCCAGGTCCACGGGTGCTGTGCTTTTCTCAATCAGCACATGCTAGGAAATACAGTACTACTGTGAGTTCTCATTTCCCAGAAGATTAGCAGTTTCTGAAGAAGTCTTAGGTTCTTTGCACATAGTCAGTTCCTGTAAGCATTTTATTAGTAAAATTGAATAATGAAATCAGAAAAATATTGGTATAGAGATTTTTAAAAGTTTAAAATCAAAGCTACTAATGTGTAGCTTGGTGGTACCGTGCTTTCTTATCACGTGCAGGACCCAAACTTTGATCCACAGCACTGTAAAAATGCAAATCAAGAAAAGGTTACATATATACATATATTCAAAACTTTTGAAATTGTAATTTCATTACTATAAAATAGTTATCCATATAAATGTTTGTAGCAAATCATTTAAAGATTACTCTTGAAGAAATGAACTGGTAATATATTTTTAATATTCCTTCCCTCCTCCCTTATTCTACCGCATGGCAGTAATTCTATAAATATTTGCTGATTGATTGATTGATTCCAAACCATAGTCTTGTAATAAAATAACATAGATCTGGAGCATAGCTATAACATATGTGGTTGTGTATATTATACAACTACTTAAGCTTAAATTTTTACTTTGGTTGATAGCATTAGGTTTTGTTTGCTATATTCTCTGCTCTGCTAAGTACTCTTTTCATGGGAATATTTGCTGATGAATTTAGACTTCCAGTGTACAATGGATGAATAAAGACCTAGTTTTAACTTCTCAGATGCTTTAATGTTAATTATTTTTTAGGTGAATGTAGAACACTGACACAAGAGTCATGTGATGTATCTCCTGCATTAACTCAGGCGATGGAAGCCCTACAGGATAGACCTGTCTTATATAAGTAAGAAATCCTACTTTGTCTTTGATAATTTACATTCATTTTTAGTATTATTCCAGTCATATACAATAGTTTGAGTAATGAGAATGTGCAGTGATACTTTGATCCCTGTATTTGCATCACTGGGGCATCTGTTCATTAGGCTGCTATGTGCTGCAGAACAGAGGAGGGAGGGGAAGACCAAGGTGGCTTGTAACTAGTTATGTGGAGACCAAATGGTGTGCCAGTCTGCCATCTCATTCAGTCCCTTGCAACTGTTAACTCACCGAAATTCGTGTATAACTCTGCGCTGGAGAGAAGGCAGTCTAGGAACTGGGAGATACAATCACCCAGAGATGATAAAAGAATATTTAGAATCAGGGCTCTTTCAGTAGGATTGAAAAAAGGAAAGGGGCCCCATCTTCGATCTTGTAAGTTACACCAACCAAGAACTCCATTGTAATACTCAAGATAAGAATCCTATGTATTTTAACTTGTTTTTTAAAATTATTTAGTGTCTTAACTTTACCCTTATAAAATGAAAAAGAAATGCTTTTTAAAAATGCCTGGAGTAGTATGAAAGTAAGCTTTAAGGAAATCAGGAGTTGTTGATAATTCAGGAAACGGCCAGGGGATTCTTCCTTAACCATTTATTCCCAGTGGGTTCATCTCTCAGAGGCTTCTTAAACTATTTTTAGAGGATTCTGCTTTTGATTGGAACATTACTTATTCTGTAATAAAGTTACAGAACACAAATCATGGGACAGCTATGTAAAATAACAACACTAAAACTGATACTGACTGCTGCTACATTAATATTTAACTACATCGTAAGAACTTTTCCAAGTGCCAGAGACATAACATCACTCAAACTGTCCTTAAAACTACTGCATTATTTTGTGGATTTTGTAAGCAAATAGATTTAAATAGAACATATTAGTTGCTGGTCTAGGAGTCATGGCCAAGGTGCTGTGTGGCTCATATATTCTGTTTAGAGGAAGGAGATGGGCATTGTGGAAAATATTTTAAGGGATAGAGGTATAACATGAGTTTCTGAAGTTGAATGAGCTTTTTCCTGGATAAAGAGGGAGGACAGAGCATTGCAGGTTGAAGGGTAACAGATCAGACATGTAGACCGAGAACATTCTCCATTGGAAAGTGTAATGCAAGAGCTTGTACTGGCTATTGGGTGGACAGCAAAGGCTGGATTTTAGTAGTCCCGAAGGTGATGCATTTCCAGTTGATAAGCTGATGTTGACAGCTGATCAGCAGCCTGGAAGTTTATTTCTACTTTGAAATTTCTTTCCCAAGGTTTTCACTTTAGCATACTGGTGTTGATTGTGAGTTTTTTAGTACTTAAAGCATTTGGCATTTGCTTTTAATCAAGCATTACATTGTTTGTGAAATATTTGTTAAAAAGATTTGTTAAAAATCTTTCTTTAAAAATGCCTTTGTATGTTTGGGCACCTTATAAGGACAGCCACCTTCTGCTAGTACATTTTCACTATATTACGATTTTTATACCTATTTTTAACACATATTAGTGAGATGTGCTGTGATCATTCCATATGCATGCAGCATGCACCCTTCCCTCTTCTGTGCACACATACTGCCTATCCTGCCGGCGTCCTTCCCAGCTGCAGGTTATCACCCTTGTCTCTTTCAGGGTAACCTTTCTTTTTTCCACATGGGAGAGAAAATGTGATACTTGTCTCTCTGTCTGCTTTATTTCACTTATGATGATGTCCAGTTCCATTCATTTTGCTGCAAATGACAAGATTTCATTCTTTATGACTGAATGATACACCACTGTGTATTTGTACTACATCTTTATCTATCTGTGGGTGGGCACTTTATCCTGATTCCGAATCAGTTTATCTGTATTTCGGATCTTAGCATTGTGCATAGTGCTTCTGTAGACATAGACATGCAAGTGTCTCTTGGCTATGTTAGTAGCTTCATTACTTTTGGGTGTATACTCAAGGGTGAGATAGCTGGATTACACTGTAGGTCTATATTTAGTTTTTTGAGGCTCCTTTATACTGTTTCACATAATGGTTGCACTAATTTACATTCCTGCCAAGGGGGCATAAAAGCTCCTTTTCTTCCACATGCTCACCAGCATTTTTTTTTTTTTTTTTTTTTATAGTAGCCCTTTTAACTGGGATGAGATGGTGTGTCATTGTTAGTTACGATTCTTTATCAACATTCGGAAGGAAGCCAATACTGAATTTTTGAGGTGGACTTTTGAGTCAGATTTTTTCAACAAGCCTTTGAACCTCTCTAAGAATCAGTTTTATTAGGTGCAAAATGAGGATAATAGTGCCTATCTCACAGGGCTATTGTGAAGATTAAATTAGATCATTCACCTAAGATGCTTGAGAGTGATGTGTGACATATCACTAAGTTTTAGCTCTTATTTTATTTAAAGAGGAGGTGATCAGAAAGCTGTCAGCTAAGCAGGTGTGTATTTAAGGATGATAACCAGAAGAGATACTTGAATGACGAAGAATGGAGAGGCAAGTAGGCAAAAGGCACAGGCCAAGAAACAGAGACAGTAATGGCAGCTTGAAAGATTTTGAGAGATATTTGGAAGTTGAGTGGGAAAGTAATCTTTTTAAGACCAGTTGATTAGGATATGCTGAATGCTAAAAAAAAAGCAAAGAAAATTTTCCTTTTCTTAAGTATCATCTGTTTTCTAAGTGGTAGTTTCATTAAATTTAGGAAAAGCTTGATGTTTCATGTTAACCACCAGATGGCACTGTATGAACTTTATATTTAATAAATTCTATAATGTGCAAAAGCTTCACTGGTCCTTGTATCTAGTATGTGTAGGTGTGTGTGCGGGAAAAGCTCAGTTATTGAACCATTGGGGAAAGTAGCCTAACTCACTGTTTCTTAGGTAGTATATGACTGCAGTATTAATGTAGTGTTTTAATTGAGTACAGGAAATTCTTTGAAAAGAAATTTATTATAAGTAGAAATGAAAAAAATGATGGTTTCTTTCCTTTGGGAAACCTTCCTAACAGCTTATTTCATGATACTTTGATTTGTAAAATGCTGACATTTCATCATTATTGATGTAATTTTTGCATTGTTTATATACTTTCTATCTTCACCTTTATAGAGCTCCATTTTGAAATTTTGTTTTTTGTTGAGAGACCAGAGTTTTCCTTTGACTCTGCAAAAGATGTTTTGTGTGTTATAGATACCACTGAAAATTCTTCTGATTCATGGTATTTTGTTTAAACTATATTTATTCTGCAGGAGAACTAACGTTAGTGTTTACTGATGTTTCATATTATTTTACAGATTAAACCCCAGTATCTGCCTGTCTTAATAAACTCACCCGGTCCCATTTGAAATAAAAGTGTATTGACTTGTTTCTGATATAACTCTGCTCCCAGTGAACAGTCCTAGTAACAGAAATTTTGTTGTTTCTTTTTACAACGGTCAGGAGGGTCTTGGGAAAGATTAGTTTTATATATTTAAGAAGTTAAAAGTTTATGAATGTCTCACTGTAATATCATCAGATCATAAGTATATTTTGTAGAATCAAGTGGTCACTGAAAAGAAAGCCTTTTCATATTGAACATATATATAGTTGAAGAGCATGACTAAAAGTAGAAGTGTGTTTTGGTTCTAATTTGTCTTCAGTAAAATAGAAGGTAAATACAAGGCAGGCCTGCAGTTTAGCAGTGCTTTCCTTAATACCGCACCTTCCCTTTCCCGTAGTGGTGTGTCTGTCACTGCAGAGAACTTCAGAACCAATTCCTTTGAACTGAAGACACACACAGAAAAAGAACCAAAAGTAGTTAATAGTGAACAGTCCTCAAAAAAGGTTCAGATTCCTAAAACTAGTTTTTGCCCCTTCTTTATACTGTTCATGTTAGTTGGAAATAATGCATCTCCCAATTTTCTCATCTGTAACAAAATGTGAATTTTTCATGAAATCAGCAATATGTTAAACTGGGAAATTACTCCTTCTGGAAATACTTGGGAAAGTTTGGTAAGTTTTATTTATATATTGGTGGATGAAATAATTCTTAATATTTAGTCTGGTAGAATACTGCCTAGGGATTTAATAAGGGGTATAGAATCAGCTGACTTTAGACTACTAAATTCTTTTTCATATGTACTTTAAAGATTGAGCTTTTAATTCTAGCATGATCATAAGCAATGGAGAACAGCTGAGCCTAGTGAAAGAGATGGCAGTTTTTGGCCACTCTAGGACATCCTTTTAAAGTACATCCCAAATTGTCCTGTCCCCCAGTTCAGAGCTTTGCTTACCTACCCATTGCTTTACCATGGAGTGACTTTTCCTGTTTTCAGTTATAATGGGTTACTTCTATCTATGCGTTCAAAAGAAATAGTGTTGGCTGTGTATACATAGTAAATTTAAGGAACATCAAATGTGTCTTAGTAGTGGAGTCAGAGTAAGCTTTTAAAAATAGCAATTTTGGGGCAAATTCTGGTGGTAAGTTGTAGTTTTATTGTAAGGAAAATGTTTTAATATAGAGGGCTTAGTTTTTGAATTTCAGAGTTCTCATTATAACCATTTTCTGGGAACTAGGTATATGGCTTCCTGTAAAGTCAAGCATCATGTTTTGGACCACAAGCTTACTAAAACCTTAAGAGTCCAGGATTCCTACCTTAGCTTGATTTTTTTTTTTTTTTTTAATCTTTACTAAATTCACCTCTTGGTCCTTTTCTGCTGTTGCCACTGTTATTCACCCCAACTTCCAGCATTTTTTCTTAGGAGAAGTAAAAATTATGTACCTTTAGATTGGATTTTTCGGTATCTTCAGGTTATCTCATGATCTTTTCTTAATTTAAAGGCAATATTGCTTAACAGATTACTTAAGTTTTAGATGTCTTGCTTATCTTAGAAATTGCATGAATACTCTGATATAACCTGTAGGAAAAGTATCAACTGTCTCTCATGTAATGTTTTTTCTAGGTACACTTTAGATGAATTTGGAACAGCTAGACGAAGCACAGTTGTTCGAGGGTTTATTGATGCTCTTACAAGAGGTGGCCCAGGAGGTACACCTAGACCCATTGAAATGCACTCCCATGACCCCTTGAGGTATAGTCATCAGAGCCCACTACAGATTTGAGGGGTTTATTTGAAGGATATCTTTACTAATACGTCGTTGTTTTTAGGTACGTGGGAGATATGTTGGCGTGGCTCCATCAAGCTACTGCTTCTGAAAAGGAACACCTCGAAACCTTCTTAAAGCTTGTAACTACACAAGGTGGGCGTGCCAATTGTTATTGCTGTGCCTAAACAGAGAAAATAAGGCTTATCTGTTTCTGTTCTTGGTGCTGTCTTCTTCACTGAGATAAACACTTCACACCTAGATGGTGCGGTAAACATCCTAGTTCAGCTTGCTGTCACTAGACGCCCCCTTGTTCTGCTAATAGACTTTCTCCTCCATCCCTGTTTGCCTTTCACTTAACTGTTCAGGTTTATAGTGGACCTTTTACCTTCCCTATCAAGCCTGCACTCCTCTGCTTCACTGGTAAACATTTCTGGAGTGTCTGGCGTACATTGTCTCAGATCTACAGTGTGGCACTTTAAAGGTAAAAATTGGTATTATCTTCATTTTAGCTGTGAGTAAACAAGCTGAGTGACTTGCTTACAGTCATTATGTTGCTAATTCTTTTATTCCTACTATCCAGCCTCTTTTTTAAAAAAATGATTATATGTACTAAATGTACTTAAAATTTTTGTCCTAGTTTCAGGGGAGAACAATGCCTGTGTTTGAGAGCTGCTGATTCTTGTCTATGAAATTTCAAATCTTCTTAGTTGTAGCTGTCTTAAGAGGACTGTTTTAGAGCTTGAGGATTTAGCGTATAATTAAAAGATGTTCTGTCTTTCATAGGAAGCGAAGATGAATACTGCCCCTGGTATCCCTTGATGGTGCTGCTCAGCCCCACAGCACAGTGGTTCCTCACATGATTTGTGAGAGGCCATGTGCAAATCACTGATAACATGTAATCCCGTGGAATTTAGCCCTGCAGCATATAGCTTAGACTGGGAAAGTCTGCACTTTTGAAAGCCTTTTTTTCTGTTGTCCTAATTAAAAGAGTGTGTTTTAGAAAAGCAAGTGTGAAGGGCTAAGAGAGGTAGAATTGGATAAAATAGGTTATTCTGTTGTAATAACTTCATTTGGGCTTCAGTTTCTATCTGTGTAAAACTGAAGGGGGTTACAGGTAGTAAATGTCAAGTACACAGTATAGTATTTAGACAGTGTCAGTTTTTCATTAGATTGCAGGGTGCATGCTGTGCATTATACCTCAAATAAGGGATTGGTAGAACAAATACGGACACATCTTCACATCACTTTCTTCAGTGAAATATTTCATAGTCTGTTTTTCCCTCTGCTTCATGTGTTTACTCTTTCTCACAAAGAATTTTCTTTTTATTTGTTCAACAGTCAAATGAATTAGCAAGGATTTCTAGACACACATTTAGCACACAGTTAGTGATGTATAAACACAACTAGTAATGTCCTTAAAAATATCCAACTTAATAAAACACTGTTATGAGTATTTTTAAATGTTACTGATGCTACCAATCATAGGTGTTATTGTTTGTTAGTTTTTTTGAGCTTATGTGTAGAAAGGTATAATGTGGGAAACATTTTAAAATATGTAGTAATTAATTTCAGGTGTTGAAGAAAATATTCAAGAAGTTGTTGGGCACATCACTGAGGGTGTGTGCAGGCCTCTGAAGGTAAGACATTTTGTTCTTACATATGTTATAAGGTATTTGGTTAAAGTATTACCATTTGAGTTTAAAGAACTCAAGCTGTCATTTTTTCAAATTATCACATTTGTTAGGCTTATAAAATTTGTTGAATGAACATCATTTCCAATTTTCTCTCTGGGAAGGAGAATTAGAAATATTCTTAGTTTGCATATATTGGCTTATTTTTACAGATTATGTTTCCCGTAGTAATTTGCTTAATCAGTTGAGAAAAGCTCTATTGAATTAAAAGAACTAATACATGAACTCTTAAGAGCATTTCTAAGACTATATTTCACTTACTTTGTTACTTTACATTAATCCATGAATAAAATAATGTTACATATCAGTATTATTATACTATGTATGTTATAAGGAACAAATTTGGAGTGAAACGGGCTAGATTTCTCATTCAAGTATGTGTAGAATCTCATATATATACAGATTATTTGTCGATTGTTGGTTTACATTTCATTGTTGATTCATTTTAATTTAATATTATGGAAATTAAAACCTATAAATTTTATGGTTCACTCTTGTCAAGAATTAAATTTTATTTTTGTTTTTTTAATTTTTTTTTCTGTACCAGGAATTGAACTCATGACCTCACACTTGCCAGGCAGGCACTGTGCTGCTGAGCTAAATCCTCAGCCCCAAAAATTAAATTTTAAAACTATCTTTATTTCCAGAATTTTTTTGGGTATATTATACCACATAAGCACGTCTTAGAAAATACAATTTGTGATAATTGAGTATTTTTATAAATTTAATTATTACTATAACTTGATCATTTTTGGGTCCAGTTTTATATTCAGTAAATAAATAGCAAAGTATTTTGAAATTATTTTACATATTTCTCCCAAATGAAACATTTACTTACCATAGTTTGATTTTCAGACATTTATAGCTCATATAAATGAGTTTATTTTGTATATAGTCAGTTACTAGAAAGGTAAAAGAGAATAAAAATAAATTTTTTTGCTTTTTATATCATTTTATAGCTATAGTTAAATAAGATTTCTAGTCACTTTGATAAATTGTACTTTATCTATAATTGACCCCCCTCCCAAGTTGTATTTATTAAAAATTTTTTGTTTTAGAAAGTAATTAGATAAAAAGTAATTATATAAAAAGTAATTCTAGAATCTAGAGGTTGGATTGGAAAGGAGCATTTCTTGTCTTGGTCTGATTAAGAAAGGCTGTTCTGTAAAATATATATGACACCCACCTCTTATGTAAAGAAAGTACATATAGAAGCCTACCTTTGAAACAAACTTACAAATTCTCATTTCATCTTCCTAAGATGTATATCTCCAGGAAGGTGTTTATAACAATTACAGGACATTATCATGACCCCCTGGAAAATTTTAATGTCAGATATCAAAAGTAAAAATGAAAACTAGTAAATAAGAAAATATCTTTTTAGTGTAAGTTGAAAAAAAAAAAACACTAAGGATTTCCTAAGCAACAAATCTTAAATATTTCCATATGATAGTGTTATGATTAGGGTTAGGGTGAAAACAAGGTTAGGGCAAAAATAAGGTTAAACACTTCCAACATACAATGGCACAGCATAAACATTTCCATTCAAAACAGTACCAGTAAGGGAATAGAAAGAGAGGTACCAGTAAGGGAATAGAATCCAGCAGGGCAAACATTAAATCTCTTAGTTCCATGTCCAGCACCTGGGTCAATCTGTGGCAAAATGTGAACTCCAAAGGGCTTGGGTGGCTCCACCCCTCTAGCACTTCTGGTGGTTGTACCTCCCATGGCTTCTCTCTTGGGCTGACTCTGCTCCTTCCTTGCAGTTGTCCTCAGAGAGTCCCTGTTCCTGGCTTATCCAAACTTCTGGATCTCTCCTGTACCTTTGAGTTTACACTCACAGCTTCACACACTATTCTCTCAGGGGCACAGTGCCTGGCCTCCAGGCCCTCTTCTGAAATATGGGTAGAACCCTTCTTGACCACACAACTTTTACATGCTGCATGTGCCTAAAACCAGCACCATGTGGATGATGCCAAAGTCTGCTGCCAGCTGGAAAAATAACCAGGCTTCCCTCTCTGTTGGTTGTAGGGGGGCGTTGCCTGGATTTTTGAGCACTAGGAACCCAATCCTAAGAAAAAATTCCCTTGGCAAGTGCCATTCTGCAGCATGGTGCCCTGGCGCCTTCTCAGAAGAAAGTTTTTAACCATTACAATTTTGAGTCTGCAAAGTCTCAAATCCTGCTGCTTCTTGTGATGCCCTCAGGCCATCTTTTCTTTTAGCTTTTTAATGCCAGTCATTTCAGCAGCCTTGTTCTCTGCTCCTTATTCTCTATCTGCTTCATCTTTGCTGGCTGCAGCTTTATTGGAGCTTCCTTTCTGACCAAACTCAAAACTTTTAAAATCATTCTTCTGGGCTGTTTGCTCTTGAATCTCAAGGTGGAGCTGACTAAAAGCCACCAACAACTGCCTTGCCATTGCCTCAATAGACTGCAGTTTCCTCCACCACATTAGTCCACCACACATAAATTCCAGGCTCCTTCAACGTCTGCACATGGCCAAAACGTAGGCAAATTTTCTGCTAGAGCATAACACACATGGCCTGGATTCCAAGTGCCAATGGAGTCTTTCTTCCCAACTGAAACCTCCTGAGCCTGGTCTTTTCTGACTGACTTTCAACATTCTGGTCTTGCTCCCATCAAAGACAGCTCATGCATTCTAGGGCTGCTTCTCTAGCCAGCATCTCCAAATCTTTCCAAACTCTTCCTGCAGGCCAGTTCCATAGGCTTCTGTAGCATATGGTCAGATACAGTCACAGAAACAAGCCCACTATGGTACCAAAATCTATCTTAGCTCTTTTCTCCATTCTGGGACAAGATACCCAACACCCACAACTTAAAGGAGGAAAGGTTTAATTAACTCACAGTTTGTAGAGATTTCAGTCCCTAGTCAGCTGGCTCCAAGGCAAGGCAGGATGGCAGAGGAGAAACAGTCCATGGCATGGCAGGCAGGAGGCAGCAAGCCTTCCTTTCCCTTTCCCTTTGTATTCCATCCAGACTACAAGCCTATTGGTTGGGCAGCATCTATATATAATAGCTATAATACCCTCTCACTCCCACTTAGGCCCTCCCTCTTTCACACACTTCAGAGCCACTGTTCTGTTTTGATCTCTTCCCTAGCTTTTCTACTAGAAGACTGCCTGCAGCCCATCTACTTCAAATATCTGCCAGTATCATCTTTGCTTTTCTAATAATAGTTACAGTTTATTGAGTGATTACTATGTGCCATGCTATTCCTACATTTTGTATCTGCTTTCAAACTTTAGCGATTTTGTCCTCCACTGTCTTTGCCATTATAATTACAAGTCATTTGCTGCCAACACCACTTCTTCAGTCTCTTTAGCTCTTCTATTTTTGTTTTCCTCTTGTTTTTTTCCTGAGATTATTGGCTTTTGCTGAATATTTAGTATCTTACATTAGTAAGATAGTATCTTACTAATACTTAGTATCTTACATTATACTGGAATATTTAGTATCTTACATTATCATTACATTATACTGGAATATTTAGTATCTTACATTAGTATCTTACTCTCATAGGACAACATTTTCTTTCTATGTAGTAGACAAACTAACTGTAATGTCTCTAATGTCTTGGAAATCTCCTGATTTTTGAGCCTTTGTCTGTTGTAGACTACACTTTCTGTAAAAGTCTGGGTGGTATGAAGAGAAGCAGGTAAGTTTTCTTTTCTTTTTCTTTTTCTACCTTCATCCCTTCATTCCCTCTTTTCTTTTCCTTCCTGTTCCTTCTCTCCCCTCCTTTTTTACTTTCTTCCTTAAGGGAGGTGGAACAGGAATATTTTCTTTATGTCTTGATTATAGATGTTTCTTGATGTCTTGATTTTAGAAAGCAGGTTGCCAGTTAGCTGAGATGCCATTGTAAGTCTACTAGGAAGAAGCTATCTGTCTACAATTAACAGCCTTTGTTTTGCTCTAATAATTATATTAAGATTTAGAAAACATAATTTTATTGATATACAATTTAAATCATCTTTGAGGCCTTATTCTAAAAGGAAATTAGCATATGGAAATTAGGATTTTATAATTGAGATATCATTCATGATCTGTAGCATTGTGGTTGATAGCTAGTCTATTGTCTTGTGCCAAAGATGAACCCATCTGGTAATTGTATCAATATAAAGATAAATTAATTTCTATAATTTGGAAGCTTTTTATATACTGTTATACATATACTTATAAAATCTCTAGGAAATTACATTGCTGGCATTATGACATTTGCTGAAATCCAAGTACAGAGAAACTTCAACTTTCAAAAGACTTTATTTAAACATCCGCTGTGTCTTTACTGTTTTACCATATGCTGCATAGATGTAAAAGAATCAGAAGGCCCATCTTCATTTGTGTTTAGAAACTCGTTTGGGGAGTGGGAAGATTTCTCAGCGGCACAGTGCCTGCCTGGCAAGCACAAGATCGTGAGTTCATTTCCCAGTACCAAAAAAAAGAGAAAAAATGAAAGAAACTAGTTTGGAAAACAGAAAGATACAACGTAGGTAGTAGTTTAAGCACAGATACCAAACAACTTGTAACCATGTATCAGTGTGGTTTCAATGGCATTCATTAATGATGGAATACAGAGTAAGAAAAGATTGGTGAGAGATGGAATTTAACTAGAAGAGATTCGTGGTTCATCTTGAGGCAGATCAACTTAATCCTAAACCAGATCTGATTTTGCCCAGGTAGTCAGAATTAGGCAAATATGTTGATACTTTCTGATTATCTGATTAATAGAACCAAACTCTTATGTAAGAGTTTAGAGACAAGAATTTTTAAATTTTCTTCTGAATATTTGGAGACCAAGCAGCATATTCCGGGTGCTAATCAATTTCTGTAGAGTTTATCTGTGTTAAAATGTTTATATTGCCACCCCCATAGCTTAATATTCATAAATTCTTTATTTAGAAGGCATTTTGTGATTGCTACGAAATGAAGCAGTACCTTTAATCACTTGGGCTATTTATACCACTTTATAATGAAGGAAAGTATGCTTTAAGAAATAATGTTTCTTTACATGTTTCTTTACAATGTTTCAATAGGTTCGAATTGAACAAGTAATACTTGCTGAACCTGGGGCAGTTTTATTATATAAAATTTCTAATCTCCTCAAATTTTACCACCATACAATCAGGTAAGTAGAATAATGAAATGAACTTGTTAAATCTCATAGTTTTTTTTTAGTTAGACCACTTTAAGATTTTTAGTGGTGTTGTTTTCATTGTGCATATAACTAACTAGAACTGGTAGAAACTCCTGCACTGTTCCAATCATTACATGTACGTTATACCTTCTATAGCTTAAGGTCTGTCATGTCCATTTCCTTTTTCCTCCAAGCCTGTGTGTGTGCCTGTGTACATATGTGCACACACATACACACGTGTGCACACACACAGACATATATACAACTTCTATAACAATATGGGTCTACAACATAAGCATTTATTATTTATCTAGTAAATGAAATGTATGGCAACTAGAGCAACTAATTATTACACTTAGAATGGGCTTTAATAAATGCAATAACTTATTCTAGATATAAATGATCTAAATCATTTTTTAGTAATTAGTGTTCTATCTGTGATAATAATAGAATTGTAGCTTTATCATCTCTACATAAAAGTTTTTATCTGTGTCACTATAAAGCCATGTTATATGTGGAGTTGTTTTAAAGTAATGTCTTTTGGAGCTATATTTCTGA